TACCGGGTACTAGGTTAGTGCATCTAGACAAAATGGAATTTAACCTGAACTGACATGATCTTTTAAATGTTGTGATGATTACTGGTGTTTTGTTTTTTTTCCCTCCCCAAAATGTGTCCTTGAAAGAAAATGTATTCTTTTCCTTAAGAAATCATTGCTTTGGTTATTTTTGCCTTGGGCAGAACAAACAGAAAAGCTGCAAAGTTTCTGTATGTTTGTCCAGTTCGTGGCCCAGATCTAGCCTGTGCGAAGATCCTACCTAGCTCCCAAATAATCTTTAACTCCTTCTAATCCGTCTGTGGATGTGCAGGCCTTTCAGCGGGCAGATGCTGCGACCGTTGCATGCATTGAGCACGATGCAGAAGTGCTTGAAAACCACCTCTCTCTATGTGGCTTGGAAACACAAGAGTCTTGCTGCAGAGCGCCTGAGATGTAAGCGCTGTGGCCGCTCTTGCTGTCATAGTTTCCTTGAGCATCGTTTCAATGAAAATGCTCATCTTACCTCATCTCCAAAACGTACATATTTTAACAGTCTTCAGTTTGCAGCTCGGGCATCCATAGCATTAAACTGCTTACTAATAATAGATGTGAGCAGCACGTATAAGCACCCTCCTGGATCTTAGTAGGGGATAATCTTTGTGCGATCTTTCTGTAACCTTCAGATAAGCTTACCGCTTTCTTGAACTTCTGTTTTGCAGCAAAAATGGTTCAACAATGCCATTCTTTTGAACAACAAATCACAGTAACAAGGTGTATAATGCAATTCATGAACAGAATTTCATTGATGGTACATAACATAACTGTCAAACTTCATAAACATGGTATGTCCCACTGGAACATATACAACATTTAGACTAGTTTTAAGACTTGGAAGCACTGTAGCGCATTACAGTGTGATACTTGGCCAATGCAAAAGTTTACCTCTATCTCTGTTGGACTAACTCTGAACTTGTAAATCCTGAACTTACTCTAAAATTGAAATCCTCACTCCATCTGATACAAAGTTAACTCCAGGGATAGACGTTAAAAAAAAAAACCACAAAAAAACAACCAACCAAAAAACCAACCACAGCCCGCTTTTCAGTTACAGGGAAGAGGGGGTCCACGTGAAGCCAACAAAAACGAGTGTCTGCTGCAATTCTGAACCTTTTGACAGCTGAGCAGAAGCTCGACCGCGGGGACGGAGCTGCCGGTGCCGCGTCGCGCCGTGGGGGCCGCGCTGGACGGACCCGCCGGCAGGGCCCCGCTGCCCGCCG